CCCCAAAACCCCAAAACCCCAAAACCCCGTTGAAGAAAATCTGTTAAGAATGGGAAGAAATAAAATATAATATTTTGTTACAGAAAATAAAATCATCCAGAATTTCTATGTGACTCTGTGTATTTAAGAGATATATTTATAGTTTTGAATCTTAACATGAAATTAAGAGTTAAGTTCTATCAGAAAGTTATTCTTTCCTAATATCAGATTGACAAAGGTGCTGGTTTGATCTAAATCTTATAATCATTAATCTCTAAAAACTGATGGAAAGCTCAGTCCCTGAAAATCATAAAGGCCTTCATCTCGTCAGAGCATTATTTTATGAGTTCTTAGGTACAATGCTGGTGGTATACTCTTTTAACTTCAGTGCAAACAATTACTTTGTTAGAGCAATCACATACTTCACGGTTTGGTTGTTGGCTGTTGCAATCTCAGGAGCACATTTTAATCCGGCAACTACCCTTGCGGTCTATCTCTCCGAGGGAAAATATCTTAAATAATTGGGCAGGCTAATTCTTTATTGGCTTTTCCAACTAATGGGTGCATTCGCAGGAACTTTGTTCACTTATCTTATTTTCAATGAGCCAGTGTAAGGCTACTTACTTTGGCCAAATGAGAACATTTCAGGAGGTGTTGGATCAACAAGGTACTTTTCTTAATTTGGTAACATATATTATGCAAAGATTTTATGGCTAGAAATGTGGAACTCCTTCATCTTCATATATGTTTATCTCCTTGTCATATATAAGCCTGGCCTTAGAACAGTAGATGAAATCATCAAAGGACTTGGTGTTAGTCTTGTTCTATATGCAAGCTATGCAATGACTGCTGAATCAGGTGCCTGTTTGAATCCTGCACTTGGAGTAGCTCAGGTTAGTTACCAAGTTGGATTCCTTAACGGTGTCGATTTGAATGGTGGAAGGTATGCTAGTCCTATTTGGGTCTACATCATTTTTCCCTTAATCGGAGGAATGCTCGCTGCCCTATCCTTTAGGCTACATATTGGTCTCGATAATAGAGCTCTTAAGCAGTAGGAATAACCGGTAGAAGTCAATCAATGAGAGTAAAATTATAAACAGGAAGCAGTACTAAGGATAATATATCTATATTAATATTTAATCCTAATGGACTCTCATAACCCTTACTCATTAATTTTCCAATTTTAGATTCTCATTTACTCGCTTATTTTATCACGATGGGGTTTTGGGGTTTTGGGGTTTTGGGG